CGCCCGAGACGAGCGGTGCCACGATCAGGGTCCGTGAGGACAACGAGGGGGCTCTCGCGTTGGTGCAGAACCCTTTCAGCTCGGCGAGGAGCAAGCATATCGACGTGCGGTTCCACTTCATCCGCGAGCTCTTCAAGGCGGGCAAGATCACTGCAGATTATGTCTCGACAGAAGAGCAGCACGCCGATATGCTGACCAACGTCCTTGGTAGGGGCAAGTTGGAGTACCACCGGAAGGCTCTGATGAACCTGCCGATGTAGGGTTCCGGTCTCGTTTTCGTGGCGTTTGTTTTGCTTTGTTCTAGCACTGGGCGCGTCTCGGACCATGGTATGTCACGCAGTCAGCGTTGGGCAGGGGCGTCACCCGCGGCGGGAGCTTAGGGTTTTTGACCAATAGCTTCGGGTGTGTAATCAGCGTGGCCTGTCCAATCTGTCCTGCCTTGGTCCTGCCCTCATAGCGCGGCCGTTGGAATCCTTCGTGATAGCGACGGTTTCTTTTATGTTTTGAGTTTGTAGGCGAGGGTTTTTTGATCCGGATGGCCGAGTTTTTTTCCTTGCACCCGTTGTTGTATGAGTAACTTAAGTAGATCTGGAGTATCCATGCCCCACTGATGGTTTGTCAATAGCTTGACGAACCGGGGAGGGTGTTCGTGTGTCTGGATACGAGCATGGTAGATCTGCTAGCGGCACGGGGGGGGTACGTAGACAGGAGCATGCGTATGCCTGAAAAAGGCTACTACTGTGTGTGGGCCCCCTTCCTCGAAATTCGGGAGGGCCACTTCTTCCCTTCCTTTCGTCGCTCCCGCGGGTGTCTAGTCAGACAGAGTTAAAGCGTGTCTTCTCCTCCCAAGCACGGACATACCAACAAGTACTTCACCAAGTGTGGCGTATGAGTGGCCACTGCTGGCAAGAGGGAAGATCTGCGCATGCCGTTGTAAGCATTTTTCCCATCAAAGGAGAGAATGGTGCTGCCTTGCTGGTGGCTGAGGGCTGCTGTGGAAGCCACTATCTCAACTCATCCTGGAACACCACCTCCGAACTGATTTGCTGCTTCGAAGATGTTCGCAATTCCTCCCTTGTACTGGCGGCAGAAGCTGCCGCTGATGATGCGACGCAAAACCCCTCCAACTGCAATCGGCCGTTTTTTCTCTCCCAGCGCTGAAAGGTTGGCACTGGTGTGGAGGTTCCAAAAGAAATCCGGAAGCTCGTCTCCGTGGTAGAAGACTTTAAAGCTGAAGTCCACCAAGGTTTCAGTAAAACAATCACTCATCCCACCAGCTTGGAGATACGAAAAACGAAGACCATCAGGCCCCGGAGCACTCTGAGGGTTGGCTTTCTTTACCGTCTGCTTGATGAACTTGATTTCGAATGGTTCATCAGTTTCGGCGACGGAGTCTATCCTGTGCGTTTTTATACTATCTCCCGCAGCTTTGATGCTGGAATCCCACGCAGTAGCAATATCGTCAGGATCTTCGTTAGGGTGTAGGTTGCGAAGATGCTCCAGCGTGTCGTTGTTGCGCGGTGAAGGTGCTGGGGAGATTAAGGCACTGGCAGCTTTCGTGATGCCTCCTCTTTCATGCGCAAGTCTTGTGGCTCTTCCTTCGCAATTGTGTTCAGTATCCGCGTAATACTGAAGTCGACGATTGTTCTCGTACATCATGAGCCAGGCGATAGGTTCACTCAGATCACCATTTGCAAAGCGGTTAAATCGGGATACCCTGTTCATCCTTCCATCAGTCGATCCATGCAATGCTGGGGTAAGATGAAGCAACTTTGTTGCTCGGACAAGTTGGAGTTGTCTTTCAACACGTGCTACTTCATATCTTTCCGCTGCAAGAGGAGACAGATCTGAGGTATCTGACTTCTGCTGATCTATGTGTACAGCTCCAAATGCTTGCACGAAGAGGATGACGACATGTTGGAAGTGTTTGCAAAATACTTTCGCCAGTTGCGGATCGATGTGTTTGACTGTCGAAAAAATTGACGTTTCAAGAGTATCTTGTCGAACCTGATCCAGGGCACTGCTGACGTCGTCGAGGTCCCACGGTAATAGGAGTTGCCGCCTGTCGTCATCATCCTCTTGCGGTGGCTGCAACGACCCAGAGAGAGATGGAGACGATGTAGTACCTGGTTCGCAACAATGCTTGGTGCGTGGAGAGAAAAGGTCGCCGCATGTGCCACATGCGGCGTAACCAGGTGCCTGGCTGCTCGAGCGCAAGGATCCAGGAGGAGACAAACTGAGTAGTAGCTCTTTTCCTCGACCTTTATGCTGACGTTTTTGGTGTGTAGCCAGATTCCTCGCCGTCAGGTTCGTTGATCCTTCGCTGATGCAGAGGGGACATGAATACCGTACTTCCGTTGGGCATCGTGGCGCAGGTCCTGGTACGGGTGATGGTGGTGCCAAATCTTGGTTCATGACACCGCTCGTTGCCGATGCGACTGGAGGCTCCAGTGCAAACCAATTCCACGTCAGTCCATCAGCCTACTACTGCTGCTGCTGCTACTGCCTTCCACCAGGCACGCTCGTGCGTGGTGGAAGTGGTGTGTGTTTCTTTTCCGGCACCATCTGCCGTCCTTCAACAATAATAATATTATGATGGACGGTATGCTAGACGTGCCTGGGAATGCAGTGCAAGAAACCGTTTCAAAATCGGCTCACATTTCAAGGACATATACATACCCAAAACAGTGGATCGGGGGGAGTGGAAAAAAACAGCCAAAAAACAGTCCGACCGGGAAAACTCCTCTCCAATTTTTTTCGCGTTCGCGTGAAAATCTATATAATACGTCCCCGCCTAGTCCTACCTATGGGCCCTGAGCCACACAGATCGGACTCATATCCAAGTACCACACACAGCCCCCCTACTTGATACGATGTACGATCTTGGAACCCTTCATGCGCAATCAGCCAACACAAAAAAAACACCCCTTCAGAAAACTTACTCAACAAAACTGGCTTCACATTTAACACAAAGGTTCTCCATCCATCAGTTTATTCACGAATCCAACGCGTTCGTCTCTGAAAATATTCTCAAACCGTTGACACAAAAGAATCATCCTCAGAAAGGTACCCAAAAATTATTTGCGCTACATCAGAAAGGCGTCGGAACGAAAACGGATATTTCTGGAAAAAACAACTTTGCAAGAGTTGGCACCAAATCCTCAAACAAAACAAAAACTCAACTTCTTGACCTATCAAAACGAGATTCGGAAGGACAACGGCCCCAACCATTAATCGTCAAAACATGTCAAATTCTTCCTCCAATACAGTGTCTAAGGGCCAAATCCTAAACAGCGCGCACCCGCTAATCGGTACCGTCGCTGAATGTCCAAGAAACGATAGAAAACGTAAGCAAGCATCCACGCAAACAGCCCCCCTGCTGTCAGCTCCCAAAATCCACCCCGAGCTAATATTTCGATGCCAACAGCGTCCTTGCTTTGCCGTTCACCTAACACACAAGTAGGCGCGACCAGAAAACAAACCAATTCGATTGCTGCTCATGCCCTCTAGAATCATGGTCATACATGACATCATGACATCCCTCCCCATGATTTTCGATGCAAGAGCAGCAAAACATGCGATACAAACACGAACATGGAAACACGTAACACACAAGGCATAACTCCAGAAAAAGTTCGTACCGAATGCAAACTGTCTCAACTGGAACTCCGAAAGCCCCCCTGCTCCCTGAACGGTATGCCTTCATGCATGTCAAACAAAGCGCTATTATCATCCCATTTCGTGCGCGCGGCCAGAAACACACCGCAGAGAGCGACCNTCCCCATGATTTTCGATGCAAGAGCAGCAAAACATGCGATACAAACACGAACATGGAAACACGTAACACACAAGGCATAACTCCAGAAAAAGTTCGTACCGAATGCAAACTGTCTCAACTGGAACTCCGAAAGCCCCCCTGCTCCCTGAACGGTATGCCTTCATGCATGTCAAACAAAGCGCTATTATCATCCCATTTCGTGCGCGCGGCCAGAAACACACCGCAGAGAGCGACCACTTTACTCAGGACCTCGCATAAAAACCAACGTATTGAAACATTCTAAGTGCAAAGTGTCCAGTTCGTAGAAAATGAAAACTCGACTGAACGTACTCCCTCCAGAGAATACGGAAATAGTATAACGCATTCAGCTGCAAGGTTAAACGCGACTGAAAATATACCAAGAACCAAGGAAAAAAAAATACCCACGTGCTGCTTCCTATTCCACAGGTTGTGGCAATGATTATCTTGTCGCAGCGTACAATTATTATCATGAAACCAAGTTCAAAAAATAAAAAATTACGCACACGCCGTGGCATATACGTTTTTTCTGCATCAAAGTGCACGGTGCGCTAGCAAGGGAAAAACAGAACAAAAAAGTATACGCAAAGCCAAATGGCGAAGCTAAAACTTACATACCTGCTCACAAAACCGAACAAAGTCGTAAACGTTTCACATGTTCTCCCACTTGGCTGTAACAAGGTGAGGTCGTCGCTGTCACCGTGTCCTCCCCGTTCCCGGTCGACTCGAGGGCGCCACCGCTGATGCCTCCGCTACCATCGCCGCCGTTGCCGTTCCCCCGCCGCCACGACCGTCATGACTTCCAGCGCCAACACGGCTGCCGGTGACGTCGCTGCTGCCGCCTCTACCACCGCCGCCGTTGTCGCCGCTGCCGCTGACGAGGTTCTGGCCGAAGCCGCCGCTGCCGTCTGCGGCTGCCGTCGGAGCTCTGGCCGAAGCCACCACTCCCGTCGCTGCTCCTGCTGCCGCCGGTGTCGCCGCCGGAGCTCTGGCCGAAGCCGCCACTCTCGTCGCTGCTGCGGCTGCCGCCGTTGCCGCCGCCGGAGCTGCCACTCCCGTTCCTGCCCCTATCGAAGGGGTACGCAACCCCTGGTACCGCCCCCCGTCTCCTCGCGCCACGCGAAGATGTCTTACTGGGGTCGAAAGGGTGCGTCGGGGCTCCACTCCAGGTTTCATCCAACTTATCCCCGCTCCCATCACCACCGCTTTCCTCGCTGCTGCTGCCGCTGCTGCTGCTGCTCACGTCCCCCTCAGCCTTCCCGGGGTCGAAAGGGTGCGTCGGGGCTCCACTCTATATTTCATCCAACCCCTCGTCCCCGCTCCCATCGCCGCCGCTGTCCTCGCTGCTGCAACTGCTGCTACTGCTGCTGTTGCTGTTGCTGTTGATCACGTTCCCCCCAGCACATCGGCTATCGGGGTCCTCCAGGACTGGCAATGGCATGGTTATTGCACCAACCGCTTCCTCCAACTCTTCGTCACATACCTCCGTCACCGGTACCGCCGCCGCCCCTGCCGTCTGGACACCCGAGACCAACGGGGCGACCGGCGACGCCACCGCTGCTGTCGCAGTTGCCGTTTCCCCCAGCACCGATGTCGCTACCGCCGCCGCTGCGGCCGTCTGGATACCCGACGCCAACGCGGCGACCGGGGACTCCGCTGCTGCTGCCGCCGCTGCCGTTACCCCCGTCACCGATGTCGACACCGCCGCCTCTGCGGCCGTCTGGACACCCAACGCCAACGCGGCGACCGGGGACGCCGCCGCTGCTGCTGCTGCAGTTCTCCCCGTCACCGATGCCGCCACCGCCGATGCTGCTGTCGGGGACGGCGCTCTGGCCGAAGCCGTCCGCACCACCTCCGCTCCCGCCGATGCTGCTGTCGGTGACGGCGCTCTGGCCGAACCCGTCCGCGCCGCCGCCGCTCCTGCCGATGCTGCCGTTTCCGACGAATGCTTGGGTTGTTGTGATTCCGCGGACGGCGAACCTCCAACAACGTGATACAATCCAAGCATGTGTTCCTCCGCTACACGTCTACTGCTGTATCCGCCCTCCATGAGGTCCAGTTCATCGCGTTGCCGCACTACTGCAGGTGCTACACATGATCTTGCGGCCCGCTCGTGAGAACGAGTGGCGGAGTGTGTGTTGACGTTGAGAGAGGCTACGTTGGCGGGGGCTTTTACCAGAAAATACGCCGCAGACGAACCGGCAGCAGCCCCCCCCCCCTTCTCACCAACAAACACCCCACCACGCACCTGTCCACCTGCGCCCCCCGCGCCGGCCGCTAGCTGTTGTTGCCGCGGCTGTTGCTGAGAGTCTCCGCCGTACACCACGCCTGGCTGCTGCTGCTGCTGCTGCTGCTGCTGCTGCTGCCACCACACAGACTCGCCGCCAAACTCGCCGTTCCTCCGCTGCTGCTGAAACGTACCAGGTCGGTGATACTTCCCGTAGATCGTTTCGTGGTTTGGTGCCAGGCATTTGATGCTTACGTGTCCAGAACGCCCACACCGATCGCACTGAGGAGGCCCGTGAAATGCCGGCTCACTGCCGACATAAACCCACCAGCCGCATCGGCATTCCTCCAATCGCGAGTGCAACCCATACCTTGCTCCTGCTGCTGTTGCATCGGCCCCGCACGCATGCTGGAGCTTCCGCTGCCGCAACCCATCGGCGCGCTCGTCGTTGCCGCCGATGCTCTTCGTTCCTCCATCCCTCGAAAAATCACTTTTGTTTGGGACCGCCTGCCGCCATCCCTAAAAAACGCTCCGAGCCCTCAGCTCCATAAAATGCTCTCATACCCTCGTCATCGCCGAACCAACACCTGGCCTAGCTAGGCTCCACTCTACGATATCGTGTTAGTGTGCACTGCCGCCCTCAGCGGTCTGTGGTGTTGAGACTGGGTGCAACGTTATCCCAGGAACAGCAGATGAAAAAGGACCATGTATTAGTCTATATATATCCGTCACGCAAGCCCCTCAGGCAAGCTGGTCACCGACACGCAAGCCCCTAAGGCAAGTGCCCGGGGCACACCGCAGTGTGCTCACCCGGGGGGACCGCACTTGGACCCCAACCGCATACATACCCATCATGCCCATACTTACCATACGCGTATCCCCCACAGGAGATGCACAGATCGGACTCATATCCAAGTACCACAAACAGCTCAAACACAACATTAATTTTTGACCCAATTCGACTGCACCACTTGGCACACTTGTCCGCAGTCCTACGCAATTCAAAAACACCACATCAATTTTGACCCGTATTCGACTGCACCACTTGGCACACTTTTCGGGAGTCCTACGCACTTCAAATTCCAACTCGAACATACATGTACTTCTTGACACTTTTCGCCGTTCGGTGTGCATGCCAGCACCACGTTCCTGGGTTTTGTACCAGGTTGTCCGTCGTCAGATTCTTCTCCAGGAGCGCCACATTGATCTTTACGCCGATGTCCACCGGCTTGATAGTATGCTTGATGCCTTCTTCCCACCTCGGATCCGGAGCCACCTGCATCACCTTCGCAAACTGCCAACCCGCCTTTGCAGTCTTAACGTATAAATAGGCACCAATCATTGCCTTACTTCGAAGACTCGGCCTACCCCGTATGTCACAACAAAGTTTGTAATCTTTTTGCACGTGTCTTTCTCCCTTCCTGCTAGCAATCAGTCGTCCTTTTTGCACCCTTAATACGGTACCTCCAATAACACCTAATGTTCCCTCCGGCCGATTGTTCCGGCTGCCCATTCCAATACTTGAGTACCACGTCGTCCCCATATTGCTCCAACTCTACTTCATGCTCCCACGTACACTTAGCCAACCCCGTCCAATGCGTGTAGTACTGAACCGCCGTCTTTCCACTGATACCTCGACAAATTCTGTGCCTTGATACTTTACACGGGACCAATTCCTTACTATCCAATTCTTCCTCCACGTCCTCTGCCGTAAGATGGAACGGAGGCGCCAACTCTAAAAACTTATTCAACACATACTTGCTAAAGCCCCACAGCAAAAACCTAGGTGTATCCTCTTTCTCGTGCTGAGTATATCACTTCTTACACCGATGCCACCGACACCCTCTCTTAATGTTCTTCCTTGGCTCATCCTTATTTACGTCCAAACACATAATATTCGGGCCCACCTTTTCCCCGTCAAGACCGTCACCTGGACCCACGATCAACACCTCATACGGGCCGGTCAAATTGTGTGCCAACTTCGGGATCAACACGAACGATGTTTCTTTCCCCCTACTATTCACTCGCGATTCAAGCACGTGTTCCCCCCACCAGAAATCGTACTTTTCTCATCATACACCAAGACCCAGTCCCCCTCCTTATACTTCGGCATCTTTCCTATTATCGAGTTCAACACCTGATTGCTCTTCTCATGCTTGGGATTGGTCATCCTATCCTGCTCTCTTACCAGCTCGTACGCCTTCCTCTGCTTATCCCTCATCAAATTCAAACAATCCATTTGGTCTTGCTTTAGGCCCTGATTTCCCGAAACGCCGCTTCCCTCCAAGATCGTCATCGGCAGTCTCGGGTATTTTCCGATGTGTACAATTACGTTTGGTGCTCACCCCGTCCCTCGGCTCACGTTGTTGTTGTGTGCCGCTACCGCGTGTGGCAACATCTCATCCCAGTTCGCCTGATCATCCGCAACCAAGTGCGACAACATTTGACACAACGAATGATTTAACCGTTCAACCATCCCATTCGTCTGCGAATGATATGAGCTAGTAAACTTCTTCACCGTCCCCAGCATCTCATACACCCCTTTCGCTACCTCATTCGCAAACTCTGCTCCCCTATCTGACAACATGGTGTGCGGACAACCCCACCTTGCAATATAATCGTTCACCATGATGGACACAAAACCCTTCGCATTCTTCTGCGCCTTCGTTAGTGGGTACCCCTCGGCATGTCTGCTGAATAAATCTACCACCAGGAACACATACTCGTTGTCTTTCGTCGTTTTCGGTAACAGCCCCAAATAATCAAACGACACCATCTGTCCCGGTCTGCTCGGAAGAGGTAGAGACACATACGGCCAACACTGTGTATGCCGCGGCACTTTCCGAAACTGACAAGAATAACACCTACGGATCCACCAACGTACGCTCCCTGCCATTCCTATCCACCAATACACCCTCTGTAGAATACCTAAAGTCACTTTCTCTCCCAAATGCACTGCTTCTTTGTGAGCGCCATCCATGACCCACGGTCTCAACATCCTAGGCATACGTCCGAACGGGCTTTTCACCTACCAAGCTCTCAAATTGCCCTGCATTTCGATTTGGATTTCCCGCGGGGGCTTCGATTCTTTCCTCACCAACAAATGCTTCGAATTCGGCAACACCTACAAAGTACCCTACGCCACCAACCGCTTCAAGTCATCAAATACTACGTCTACATTTTTCGGAATATCACCCTTCTCCATCCTCTTTGGATCAGCATGCCCTTCAATGGCCTTAATTGCTAATCGCGCCGTATCGTCTTCCTCCTGAATGTCCGCCCAATCACTGGCCGTCTTATCACGTAAATTCTACCCAAATTCAATTGCCGCTTGCGTCTGTTCTTCATCATACTCTTGCAACGGAATTTGAGGCAACGGAAGTGCTGCCGGACCTCTGCCCCCGGAACCCCTTCCCCCACCACCACCACCAGCCTCGCTTGCTCGAGCCGCACCACCTCGACCCCTTCCACGTGCAACAGCCCTGCTACTACGAGCATAACTGCCACCCCCGCCACCAGCAACAGCCCCACTTCCACGAGCGTTACTGCTTCCCCCGCCACCAGCAACAGTCCCACGCCCACGAGCGATACTGCTACTACCACCACCACCACCAGAGGCACTGCCCCCTTCTTGAGGAATAGAATACACTCGAGCTTTTTTCACCAATCCTTGCAAGCGTCTGCCAACTTCCGTTGAAGGAACAGCATGTATTATCATTCCTGGCTCAAACTGACCACTGACTACTTCCCCACTCGGTTCCACCAACCGGGTGTCATCAGGCACACACGCACCATCAGGAAAAGGGTTGGACACGCCCTTTCCTCTTTGGATCAGCGCCCACGTCTTGTCTGCCAGTTCATCCGTAGTGAGGCTTGCCGATGTACAGCCACTTTCCCCCACCACGAAATCATCGCGATGGTTCGACCTAGCGAGCGCCTCTCGCTCGGTATACACCAGACCTAATCGCGACGGTAGCACCCCGCTCGCACCTTTCCCGAGTCCGGCCCGATCCCTTCCGCCGTGACTTGATGTCCCAAGAACGTCACCGCCTTCACCCCCCGGTTCGTCTTCTTGGGTGCCAGTTTCAGGTTGAACTTGACCATGCGCTCGAAAAATCTCACCAGGTCGCGCACGTGTTCTGCCCCGTCCCTAGTTTGTCCATGTCCTCCGGCTCCCACAGCCTCGCATTGAAGTCGAAAAGGACTTCTCGAATGAGCGGAGGCACCCCCTACCACAACCGCCTGAACGCCAGCTTTCTTGTTCAAACAATGCCGGACTTCCCGTATCCAACAGAGCCTCCCACGACATCATCTTGGTCACTCTTGACCCCGCGAACACTTGCACTCTAGTCGTATGCCGATGTCGACCCATCTTCAAATCCCCACCGACCGACCGAGGAAAATGTTGACAGGTAGTCCGCCGCTTCACCGTGGTAGGACGCGACGCTCCCCGTCGCCAGGTCATCACCCTCGGTGTTGTGCACCACCGATCGGCCCGCCTCCTCCTCTACAAATCCACCCTCCTAGTCGTCTTCGATGTTCTTGCGTGATGATTGTTTTCTCTTTACCCCAGCCTCCTCGAGTCTGTTTTGATCCCAGTCCTTGGCTCTGCTTGCTTCCCTTCTGTCCGCGATATTAATTTTCGTCAAGACAATACCCGGGACCTCCTTGACCCTGCACCATCACCCCTCGAGATTTCTTTTTAATCTCGCAATGCTTGTCACCCCTTTCACCCTTCAACGCCACCCAGCGAGATTTCTTTCCGCTCTCGCAATACCGTTCACCCCTTTCACCCTTCACCTCTGCCTCCCATTCCTCTTCTCTCTCTGCCTGATCACCCACAAAGGAATTCGGCCAAGGTGCTACCGGCAAGCTGGCCAACTGACCGTTGCACCATCAGTGATTCCTCTCCCTTGCCAGTTTCTCACTAGCCACTTGTTGTTGTTGTTCCCTCAACAATCTTGCCTTCTCCTCCCCACTTAGAAGAATTGCGATTTCTACGTCTGACCCTGGTTCCGTTCTTCCACCTCCCCCCATATTGGACACCAGACTTTAGAGAGCGTCCACATCACCCCCAAAATGCGAATGTAACAAGTCAAGGATCGCACTCGATTTGTCTTTCACCTTCCCCCCATCCGATGGCTGCCCACCAAGGGACTCTCCATCCCCTCCACCACCCTCATCCGACGCACTGCCCCCTCCACCATCCTCCTCCACCTGGGCATCAGCCCCCCTCTTGCGATTGTTTTCATCCTTCACGGGCCCTTGGTCTCCCCCACAACCTGACGTACGAGAAATATAATGACCCGCGTCAGGTGTCTGTGACCTTCTGTTTCTGCGCATTTCGCTTGTTCGACGTGAGTAGTATGCCTCCCCACCTCTCTCACTTCGTGGCGCCAACACCTGAAACCCTGGCATTGCCATTGCCTCCATTGCCATCCTCTGGTCTGTGCTGAGGCGCCTTGCCCCTGCCCCCGAGCCTCTCGTCAGACTCCTTCCCCGACTCGCTTACACACGACTCTCCCACATCTCTCTGCCCCAATCTCCCGTGATCTGCGTCAGCCCTTTTGCTAGACTTGAAGACACACCTTTTTCCAAGTCACCCACCGCCGTTCCACCCTTTTGCGACACACTTCCCCTCCCAGCGTGCGCAATACCCTCACAACACCACTTGCCCTCAGGCCTTCCACCCTTTCCCCCAGCGACCTCAGCCTCTGTCCGTTGTGCATCCTCGGATGTCTGCTGTACACTCGTTGATAGCACTTCCCTTGCCTGACGTGAGTCTCCAACTTCGGCGTCTCCACCCGACCTCTGTTTCCCTTCCTCCCGAGGCCTCTCTGTCAACACTTCCCGTTTCACTGACAGCGCTTTAGCCGCCGATTCACCCCCTCCCGTCGACAACTCATCCATCCCACCGCTCTTTGAACCACCACCACCTCTGTGGTCCGAGTGCCCAATTCTCCCTTCATCGCTGTTCACTTCCCCCCCCTCACGTCTCTGTGCCATGGGAAGAACACACCGCAAGCGGTGCGCTAACCGCGTCGCCCCTGCTTCGGTGCCAGTGACGTGGAATCGGCCGGCGGTGGCCTATCGCACGTAGATATGAGTGTAGATGTGCCAGTGGGGTCGTGGGTTTGCGCTTCTCGAAGTTGCTTGCGATCAAAGTGTGTTTGTTAGGCCTTCGTGGGCCGGAAACAGCAGGGGAATTGAACACTGAAAAAGGGGGCACGCGACATCAGCTGACGCAAGCTAATTGCGCCGCTTCACCTGTATCTATCCAATTGCGCCCCTTCACTTTCTCTCCAACTCTCTCTCACTCTCTCTCAACAAACTGCGATTCCCTCATAAGCTCATCATTCCAATCATAAACCCACACCTTTTCAATTCTAGTCTCCACCTCATACACTTTTCATGACCATATTTGACGATATCTCAACCAGACCTAACTCCAACCCTGCTCCCAGAGCTAGGCCTTTGCTCCATCATCGGCCGTTTTGTTTGTATCACGGAGAATAAGGAGGTTAAAATACTTGAAATTAGTATAGAAATAAAGTTTGTGTATCTAAATCGATGGAGCAAAGGCCTACCCACAGAGCCATCATTTTCAAGTCCATTCCATCACGCCTCAACATACATACTGCGATTAAACTACCCCAAGTTTTCTTACACTGACTAAAACTAGGGTTGACTTATTGCACGACAAGGTCCGCCAAAGGGCTTTTCATTTCTAGGCCAACCGAGGGATGCCCTACAGCAGGGGTCTGCTCGTTCGCGCATGCATAATGATTGGCAGCATCTTCCACAGCAGTATCTTTGGCGCCTCTCCACTATTAAGAATGGCATCCGCGACCGCCATCGTCACCACTGCTGTCTCTCCGCTAATGGCCGCCGCTGTGAGCAGTTATATGATCCCCCCACCTCGCTGCCTAATCATCACAATACCATGCGACATGTGACGTCACGCCGCTTCTCGAAACATGTTCCCAACTCCCGAACCAAATCGCCCAGCGAACCTGCGGAACTCCCTTTCTGCGATCACCGACGTTGGGATCATCATGAAGCTTCCACGCAAGCTGCTTTGCGCGGGTGGTGATGTTTGCCGCAGGGGCATTGTGCTGCTTTGTTGCAAGTGCATTCCTGCAAGGCCAGAGTTTCGAGTGCCCTGCTCGTCATCTTGACAGCATTGGGCTGTCTGCGAGCGAGTGGGGTCGTGGGTTCAAGCGGAGCGGATTTAGGTGCGTGCAGGCCCGGCATGTCTCTCCATGAAGACGAAACGCGTTCAATATTATGCATGGCGTGGTCGCATGGCACAACACGGTTGTTCTGCGTTGTGTTTTCCTCGCGAGTTCGGAGTACGCTCGTGCGGATCCAAGATATAGTCTAGTCGTAATACATTTGGAGTACAGCAGTAGTGGGGGGAATAGGGCCGGTACGTGCCCTGCGCACCGACCGCGCTATCCAGAGGGACCGGCGCTACTTGGTGATTCAGTCTGTGCCCACCAATTTCACCGGTGCTATTCAGGGCCACCGGCGTTAACCAAGCGGCGTTGTCGATTCCCCCCCAACTGAACCACATATATGTAGCCTATTGCTGTAGTGTGGTCTGCTGATCCCCTCGGGAAACGTGTGAACCGAGAACGTGTATACAGCACTACTTACCGACAGCGACCCAGAGATTCCGACGGCGAAATCCACTTCGAGTCGCAAATATGCTTATCGACCCTTTCCTGCTGCAGAAACTGTATTTCTATCGTTACCCCAGCAGCACACCACAACAGAGGCGGTGCCGACCTGGAAATGTCCAGCACGACCGCAACAAGCGTGTGGGCGACATGCGGCGAGCCCGAGGTCCGTCGATGTCCTGCAGGAGGCCCTCTTTCTTCACCGCAAGAATTTCTTCTTGCCAATCCTCCAGGTACGTGCGCAATGCAGCTGAATGATTCCTGTTTCAAGGCACGCAAAGACCGCTACTCTGTGTGCGATGCTATCGTGTGCAAACCGCGTCACAACACGCGACATCATACACCAACAACCCCTTCTTTTCGTTGGAAGAGTCTGCACACAATGCACAGACGGACGGCGGTCAGCAATTTTTAATAGGGGTGATGACAACTGCTAATGAAGCACCACAGCATATGTCGTTGAATTTTTGTGGAACGTCTATGTGAGTCAGACCTCGGGCATACCTTACCTGATGATCACCTGCGATTTGGCGGTCGTCGGCAGCGTATGGCGCGATAATATTCACTCCTTTCCTATTCGCAGGCCCGTACACGTGCCTGAGGACGGTCGACCATCGGTCGGTAGCCATGCTGCCGTTCCATCTGGACAGGCTCTGGCATTCTTCTCAAGCCACCGGTTTTGGACCCGCGGCAAGGGCGCAAGGTCGGCAGTCGCTAGAACAGGGGACGGTGGAGACCATTGCTCGGGTGACCGAATCGTTTCGACAAGGTATTTACATTGTGGAAAAAACAGGTAGGTGCCTTGGCCGTTTCCCGCAGAGGACACCGGACCGAACCATTACGCAAAGCCTGATACTTTTGATGAAATCCTTCGTAGCTCCTCGCTCACCGGCTTCTTCCGGCAAGAGCCGGCGTCGCGGCTCTGATCTCTGTAATCAACTGATTTCATGTGCCGGTTGTACCAGAGAACGCTGGCGGCGGCTGTCCAGAGTGCATGACGACAGTCTTGTACACGCACCGCCGCAGGCCTGGCAAAGAAGACGTAGGCGAGGGCTTGTCGGACGACGACCAACCCGAAGGAGCGACGGCCTTTACGGGCGCCAGAACGTCGGAGAGTCCACGAAAAGAGGCAGCCAGACGGACGAAAAACAGTAAAATATGCATCATGGCGCATGCCTGGCCTTTGCCCACGCCCCCGGTGGATGGAAGGCCCGCGGGAGTGAAGGTGCTCATTGCCGGATCGGGCAGATCGTGCCCAGAGGCGAAGCACTCGAGCTGGTTGCGAGATAGGAAACGACTGGACGAGCTCAAAGCTCAGGTAAGTTTTTTTTGTGAAGTGCCGAATTAAAAACGTGTGGGTGTTTCTTGCTATCTGAACGGCAAACTAGTTTACACAGAGCGCCGAACAATTCACTCAAGTAGGTGAGGCGGGGGCGCTCTTCATGACGCAGACGCGGCGCCCGGTGCTAAAGCTTATCTCGCGTGATGTCTTCGTGCGGCTCGCAGTCTCTGCAGTGACGTTCGTGCATTACGTGTGTCTTGCTGTTGGTACGTGGTATGTCCTTTTCTTGATCACAAGATCGAGCCTCGGAGACTCATTCACAACACGAGGTTTTTCGGTTGATTTTGAACGTAGCAGTCTCGCTGGGTTTCACTTCACAGCGTTGCTCGCATATTGCCGGTTCAGCCACATCCTCTGGTATCATCCCTGTACCATTTTGACACCCGGTTCGACCCGTTTTCGCAGACAGGTGCACAGGAGGTAGTGCTGTCCGAGATTGGGTTTTCACCTGAGGGGACTACTCGGAGACTCCTTCTAGAAGGTCTGGCTATGGGCTATCGTTTGCTTCTTCGTAGCGCAGAAGTCTTGCGACTGTGCACCACTTGATCATGATCACACCGCCCACTGGGATTCATGATCACAACGCCGATTAAGGCATGAAAAGGTCGTCACAAGCGTGGACGCTTCCAACGTTCCCAGAACCAAAGGTCATCCTTCATCCCCGGTGCTCGCCTGGTCTTCAACGAGCCTTGCCAACTGATTCCGCACTGACGTCATCGTCGCCATTACTGCGAGACGTGGTCCGTCGAACGGATCAATATTCGCCCACAATCGCAAACCCTAAGGTTTTGGAGCGCCTCCCGGCGCTAAACACCACCCCTCCGCACAAATCAGGACTTACCTCCAACTTCTTCGTCGTGGAGGAAGATGGAGCAGTGTGCACAGCGCCATCGGGAGTGCTCTTGGGAGGGATGCGCCAACTCTTGATCTCGGTGTGCGACAAAGAGGGAATCGAAGTCCGTTTAGACGCTCCCGATATTTCCAGGGCTGGTCGCTGGCGAGAGGCATTCCTGACAGGTAAAAGAGGAGGGTACGATCGCGGCCCTCGTGTACGCGCATGAGGTACATGGGTGTGCTCGCTGATGTGAGGTGAAACATGTCATGGTCATCATAAGCGGCAGACGCGAGTACGGACGCTGTGATATCGACATGAACCTGTCTCCCGCGTCACGTGTCGACGAGCGGAGAGCCTTTGTGTGTGTGCTCGTGCTCTTCCGGTAGACCACATGGCACGAGAAATTCACTCCGCGGACAGCGTTCTGTTGCCCCTGATGCAAAGACACGGATTCACCGCTACCCGGAAGGTCTCAACAAGGCCTGACTCGATCATTTCTCGCGTGGTTTCTCAGGAACCGGGCGAGTAGTGGCCCCAGTCTCCACTCTTATCGTGCCCGAGATTGAAGATTCAAGCAAGATCACTCGAGGAAGCGGTGCGGAGGTGGCCTTGTCCAAGATAGGCATTCCGTGCCCCCCGGGAAACATCGCCACGGTTGGTGGAAAACCCGTGCCATCGCTGGCGGAGACTCTTCGCAGTCGCGTGGTCGCAGAGCTTGGAGAAGCGGCGACACAGATTTTCTAGTTTTGCTTCCTTCCGGAATCAATCGCTAGATGCACAGTCATTTCAACACCAAAATGTATCCACTTTGTGTTGTGCGGTGTATGTGCCAGTTATCCATGCTGTTGTGGTCGGTCTCAAACTTCTAGAATGCCGTGGCGTGAACCTCGGGTGATGAAATATAGTGAACTAAGAGATGAGAACTTGAAGTTCAACAGCAACACAGCCGGAACACGAAAATACGACTTTGTAGCAGCCGTGCGCAATGGTTGGTGGAATGCTCATGTCCTCGGTGGCGGAGACTCTTCGTAGTCGCATCATGTCAGAACTTGGGAAAGAGGCCACAACAGGCACCTGTTTTCTGACGTATCTCTTTGTCGAATGTACCCACTATGAATGAAGTAAATGTGATGCATAAAACCCCCGGCAGACATCGGCGTCACACTCGCAGAATGAACATCGGGAATATATATCCGCACCCAAACTCAAGTTGACAAGTGAAATTCAACCGACAATACAGTAGACCGCGAGACAAAAAACATTGAGCAACCATGCACAAACGGTATGTGGAAAACCCATGCCATCGCTGGCAGATATGTTTCTTAGTCGCATGGCGGCAGAACTTAGGAACGCGGCCACAAATTCTCTAGCTTAAGCTTCCTTCCGGAATCAATCGCGGAAAGCCGTGCCATGCCGAAGGCCAAAATTCATAAGCTTGGCGACGTGTGTGTGACCTCACACATTCATGTAGTTGTGGTTGGTGCTGGCGTTGTGAAAGCTACAGGCAGTCATGACCGTCATACTCGGAGGATGCCGCAGAGTGAATCTCGCGTGATAAAAAAAAAAAAATGCGCAGTCAATTTACACCGAGAAAATATACAGACCACGGAAAATAAAAAAAAGCAGTCGTGTGCACAAAATCATCTCCACATGGAGATAAGTCCAACAACTCGTGCAAGCGTCCCCAATATCGGCACCAGGCGTGCCTCAAGCGTTGTCTACTGTATTGACCAACAAGGCGCGCCGCATACCCCGCGCTCCCACAAAGACTCGGATCGCAATTTTCGGATACTAAAGGGACAATCAAACCCACCCCCCGAGCCCAGAAGGAGACATGCTTTCACACACCGCCCGTTAGAAGACTCCAACTACCACATCCGGACGGCCTAGACGACCAAGCACATTGGAGCAAAGGAAGTTGATACAATGCAACAGCCCTAGGGCGGCGCCGCCACCAAAAGCTTGGGTACCACCCCATCGGGGTATACAGGGCAAAATTCTGTGGTAACTCGACCGAGAATCAATTTGTGGCACGGATTCGTGCTTATAATAAAAACACCTGAAACCGAAGTAAAATTTCTACACACCGATGCTGCACCAGAGGTCATATCAAACACGCCGACATGTCGAACGCTCATTAAACACAGGGAGAGAAAAACCCGCTGGATAACATGCGCAAAAGAACGTGTCGGCAATCCTCGGAAAAAATCACGTCTAACCCATTGCAGTTCTCTTGAACCAAGAAAGAGCACGTACAATTTTCGCCGCACACGCTCTCCTCGAACCATTCCACTCTTCAATAGCCTACTACAGCAGTGGATCAATCCCCTTCTTGCCTCATTATATATTTCCCGGGTATTTGAGAGCACGACGCGACGCGAAAACAACACCGCCGCCCGCGATGTCTATCGGAGGTGTCGCACGCTCCGCTTTCGCTCTTGAAAAGCCAAGTACAGCCAGCTTCCCCAACACAGTGCATCAGTACCCCTTCTCATCGGAAGTCTCGTCGCTATCATCGTCGTCCACGTCGCGTGCGAAGTTGTCCTCCTCCCCTGCCTCCTCCTCCTCATCCTCCTCCTCCTCCACGCTCCCACAGGCGTCTTCGTCCATCTCTCGTCCTGCATCGTCGTCGCCGTCGCCATCTCTCCGCGGTATTCGTCTCACCTCCGACGGGGATGCACCGTCTCCGTCTCCGAGAAGTCCTCCGTCGCCAGCCCCGGCGCCCGCAACGCTTGCCATAGAGGAGTGGTGCGCGGCGGCGATGTCCGCGAGCTGGTCTACGGCATAGCTCCCGCTCCTCGCGTGCCGCTGGTTCTGCTCTTCCCGGCCGTCTGAAGAATCCTCTTATCCACCGCGACACATGGAGGCATAAGCATGCACATATCGGTGGATGAGATCGGTCAAACAAGTGCCAACAAGCATGCGTACAACGCAAGGGTTCGCGACCAAACAAGCAAGAATGGGGGTCACAGCATGAACGAACGAAATACGCGCATGTTTCGGAAATCGTGATTGTGGTAGAGGTGGACGGTTTCGAGAGGAACTCGAGCTTTATCCTTTCAAGTCCCACGCGAATGCAGCATCCACTTGAACGTGGCTGCGGACGTCGCTCAGAAATTGTGGAATGAACTGTGCTCGAGTCAGAGTTACGACTAAATACTATAAATATAGCTTCCGGGAAGCCGTAGTAGTTGTGCCGCTCGCTCACCATCACCCCCTCCCTGCACCCGAGCTTTCTTGTCCGCGGGCGCCCCTAAGTTGTCTCGTTCTGACGAGAGCAGCCGCTCTTCCACTCCGACATCAGGCTCTTCGTCTCTCAGGCGTTTTCGACCACCATCCTGCTCCTTGCCAACGGGCTGCTTGGAGGGGGGAGACGCGAGGCGAAACACGGAGCATGTGGGGCGGGCTTTGCGTAGTTAGGGTCTAGGGTTACAACCGAAAGACGTGTGGGGTGAACGGGGCAGTTCTGAAATCTTGATGGAGGGTGTGCCATTGGAAACTATGTTCGACGTGTGCTGTCGAAATGGAGGACTCGTTCCTGCGAGTGTGCAACGTTTTCGCAAAGCCTTTAGCCGGAAATGGAGATCAATACTTTGGTGGGTGCACGTGAAGGTGTGAATCAGTGTGACCCAACCGTTCGTCTGGATCTGTAGAGTAACCAATCTGTTCGTCTGGATGTGCGGGGGGGGGGGCGGGCGGGGGGGG